TGTGGAATGCGTTGGGAGAGAGGCAAAACAAGAGGTCGCCATGGAAACAGGGCCAGATTGGTGAGAGAGAAAAGGAGATAGGGGAGGGCAATATGGAGGAGAGGCTATGCATACAAAGACAGACAGATAGAAGTGAGAGAGAGGGAAAGTGGGAAGCTGAGGGCGTATAAAAGCAAGAAACAGAGAGTGTGAGAGAAAGAAAGGGCAAACAGATCAATCGAGGCTAGGTTGTTGAGAAAGCAGTTCCAATAAAAGCTTCACACCTCAGATTAAAAAAGGTGTGAGCCAGCTGGCCTCCACAGCCTGAAGGAACAGAGGCCTGAGGAGTTTGTGAGGATGTGTGTGAGTGATCTGTTCTCAGGATAAGTGTATATGTACTATATCGGGGCTGTACAGTGTAACATATATCACACTTGCTATGAAAAATTGGTCTGTGCAATGAATAAATGTACCACTGTAGCACACGTGCGAAACAGTTTTGCATGTTCATAACACAGCCACTTAATAGTGTGAAGTGATTTCGTTGTGCTTGTTTGTGTGTGTGTGTGTGTGCTTGTGTGTGTGTGTGTGTGTGTGTGTGTGTGTGTGTGTGATTGATTATACTTGGTTTAGGGGTGTGCAATATGACGATATTTGATCGTGGACGATTAAAATGTCTCCACGGTCTGCTTTTGAAGAAATATTGTAGTATCGTGCTACAGCGCACATTCTATCAGCTCAAGTTCTGGCGCCGCAGTATCATCTATAAAATGTGACATACATTCACATCAAATGTTATCTCAGCAGCAGAGTTACTTACGGGACACAGCACTTATGCGCAATCACAAAAGTACATTATTTGCATCTGCTTTAAAGCCTTGCGGGTTAAACATTTAATTCACATGCTGTTCTGACGTGTTTCTGAGCGTATACACATGAAGCGCGCGCACACTTTCAAACAGCGCCTGATTACTAGACTTAAGTTTAAGACTTAACTCAACTTATAAGTTGTCTTTCGCGTCTGATTGATTTTGCATCTAATATTGTCAAAAGCACACAAGGTTTACATATAAACAGTTAGTTATGTCTAAAAATGTAAAAACAAATGTTCCACTTGTTTCTTAGTCAAGCACCCAGTTGAGATCGATGTGCATGGTTTTGCCTGCTCTTTGATATTTTGTTACCTTGAAAGGCTTTTTTTACAATAGGGAAATTAGTCTGGCTGATAATAATAATATTAATAATAATAATAATCGTCTTGCTATCATCAAAGGCATCAGCCACAGGCGATATCTCTGACTATCGTCGATACACGATACTATCGTCTATCGGCACAACCCTAATATAAGATGTCATTGTGCTATAAAAACATCTTGTAAGTTTCAGAAATCAAAACTTTCTTGTTAGTCTAAAAACAAATTATATTGAAGTCAGTCTGCCAAAATGACAGGTTGTGGAATGTGCCACTCTATGATGTAATAATGTGGCTAAACACGTCTCCGCAGAAGAAGATCAATGCCTGCTTCTACATCACTGCCAGTTTTGCCTCGCCCACCAATTTGTGCACATAGTAGGTAAATGACAAGAGCAGTCTATGCAGAAACCAAACGATAAACTTTATTTCATGAACTTTATTTTTAATGAAGTGTCAGACCACGTCAGTAAGGTCTTTTGTTCACTTCGTTTTACCACAGATATGTTTACAAACAGGGCACAATTCGATGCAGGATTTTCAGAAATATTTAATCTAAAAGATGATGCTGTGCCGACTATATTAGATACAATGTCGCACCACACACAGTGTGAGTAACTGTTTTCATTACGTGGTCACTATTGCTTTAGCTGTTATTACAGATCACTTGATATGTAGAGTATTTATGCATTTTAACTTAAAACACAGCAGTGTCCATCTGTGAAGATTGATTATACTTGGTTTAGGGGTGTGCAATATGACGATATTTGATCGTGGACGATTAAAATGTCTCCACGGTCTGCTTTTGAAGAAATATTGTAGTATCGTGCTACAGCGCACATTCTATCAGCTCAAGTTCTGGCGCCGCAGTATCATCTATAAAATGTGACATACATTCACATCAAATGTTATCTCAGCAGCAGAGTTACTTACGGGACACAGCACTTATGCGCAATCACAAAAGTACATTATTTGCATCTGCTTTAAAGCCTTGCGGGTTAAACATTTAATTCACATGCTGTTCTGATGTGTTTCTGAGCGTATACACATGAAGCGCGCGCACACTTTCAAACAGCGCCTGATTACTAGACTTAAGTTTAAGACTTAACTCAACTTATAAGTTGTCTTTCGCGTCTGATTGATTTTGCATCTAATATTGTCAAAAGCACACAAGGTTTACATATAAACAGTTAGTTATGTCTAAAAATGTAAAAACAAATGTTCCACTTGTTTCTTAGTCAAGCACCCAGTTGAGATCGATGTGCATGGTTTTGCCTGCTCTTTGATATTTTGTTACCTTGAAAGGCTTTTTTTACAATAGGGAAATTAGTCTGGCTGATAATAATAATATTAATAATAATAATAATCGTCTTGCTATCATCAAAGGCATCAGCCACAGGCGATATCTCTGACTATCGTCGATACACGATACTATCGTCTATCGGCACAACCCTAATATAAGATGTCATTGTGCTATAAAAACATCTTGTAAGTTTCAGAAATCAAAACTTTCTTGTTAGTCTAAAAACAAATTATATTGAAGTCAGTCTGCCAAAATGACAGGTTGTGGAATGTGCCACTCTATGATGTAATAATGTGGCTAAACACGTCTCCGCAGAAGAAGATCAATGCCTGCTTCTACATCACTGCCAGTTTTGCCTCGCCCACCAATTTGTGCACATAGTAGGTAAATGACAAGAGCAGTCTATGCAGAAACCAAACGATAAACTTTATTTCATGAACTTTATTTTTAATGAAGTGTCAGACCACGTCAGTAAGGTCTTTTGTTCACTTCGTTTTACCACAGATATGTTTACAAACAGGGCACAATTCGATGCAGGATTTTCAGAAATATTTAATCTAAAAGATGATGCTGTGCCGACTATATTAGATACAATGTCGCACCACACACAGTGTGAGTAACTGTTTTCATTACGTGGTCACTATTGCTTTAGCTGTTATTACAGATCACTTGATATGTAGAGTATTTATGCATTTTAACTTAAAACACAGCAGTGTCCATCTGTGAAGGATGTAGGCTGTCAAACATACACAACTGTTAGCCAATCATTGCAGTGGGCGTTTACTTCCGAGTCTAGAATCCGCCACGCCTATTCCAACAGAGCGTTCTGATGAGAGGGTCAAAACAATGACAGAAAACAGCCTATTACTTCTAAATTAATGTTTTGTTTTGTTTTTATGAAAAAATCTTGATAACATAAGTGGATCTCAGAGAACAGTACAAAATAAAAAACAAAGGCAGTTCATGACCCCTTTAAGTCAAAATTATGCATTATGCCAAATTGAGGCCCTTTGCCCCCCAAAAAAGTCTGATTCCATGTAGGCCCAGCAGTCACATTCAAAAACATTATGCTACTGCTATCTATAACCTCTCTTATTAGGTACATAGATCTGATGCCCTTCAATGCCGGCTTCCTGAGATGTAACTCAACCTGGAAATGAAGACGTGTTCTATTTCTCACAATAGAAAATATCTCAATCGATGGCTGCTAGATATTTCAGATGACTGTTCCCCTCCATACTGATAGATTTGGTTTGATTAAAATTAAACATTGCTTCCTGCTGAAGGTCAATGAGTTCACTGACACTGACATTACAGTGAGAGAGATTTTGAGAAAGGGCACAGTGGGATTATGAGTCTTATTGTCACTGATGGAACACATTAGCAGAGAAAACCTGAAGCTTCCCATCAGCACCCAGTGTTATTACAGATCACTTGATATGTAGAGTATTTATGCATTTTAACTTAAAACACAGCAGTGTCCATCTGTGAAGGATGTAGGCTGTCAAACATACACAACTGTTAGCCAATCATTGCAGTGGGCGTTTACTTCCGAGTCTAGAATCCGCCACGCCTATTCCAACAGAGCGTTCTGATGAGAGGGTCAAAACAATGACAGAAAACAGCCTATTACTTCTAAATTAATGTTTTTTTTTTTATGAAAAAATCTTGATAACATAAGTGGATCTCAGAGAACAGTACAAAATAAAAAACAAAGGCAGTTCATGACCCCTTTAAGTCAAAATTATGCATTATGCCAAATTGAGGCCCTTTGCCCCCAAAAAAAGTCTGATTCCATGTAGGCCCAGCAGTCACATTCAAAAACATTATGCTACTGCTATCTATAACCTCTCTTATTAGGTACATAGATCTGATGCCCTTCAATGCCGGCTTCCTGAGATGTAACTCAACCTGGAAATGAAGACGTGTTCTATTTCTCACAATAGAAAATATCTCAATCGATGGCTGCTAGATATTTCAGATGACTGTTCCCCTCCATACTGATAGATTTGGTTTGATTAAAATTAAACATTGCTTCCTGCTGAAGGTCAATGAGTTCACTGACACTGACATTACAGTGAGAGAGATTTTGAGAAAGGGCACAGTGGGATTATGAGTCTTATTGTCACTGATGGAACACATTAGCAGAGAAAACCTGAAGCTTCCCATCAGCACCCAGCCATTTTACTTATGTATTAGACGGGGAAATTATATGTGCTGTGGCTGCAATCGATCAACATTTACCACATCTGGTTCTGTTTCTCTTTAGATTAGATTACTGGTTGAATCTTTAATGCACAAGACTTTAGTAGAAGGCATTGTTATTAAAGGAATTTTCCAGGTTCGGTATAAGTTAATATCAATTGAGGCTTGTGGTAAAATGTTTATTACAAGAAAAATTTATTTTTACACTGATGCACTTACAGGTGGAAGAGAATGGGGCTATTCTGTAAACATTAAAATGCTTAATGTTTCAACAGTATAGCCAAAGGTATAAACAATATGTATATAATTGTAGTGTGCAAAAAAATTTTTTAATTATTAACCTTTTTTATGTAAAGCTATATCCAGTTTTACAACTTCATTGCCATTTGTCATCCCAACACAATAAACCTGAAAAGAACCATAAAAAACGAACACCTCACATAATACAACAAATTTTAACAGAATAATTGTTATATGATATTATTTATTCATTATGCATTAATTATTTTTAAATTCCTGACCCAGTTATAAAATAGTACTCAAATGGTATTAATAGCATTGCCTCACCTTATCCTTTCATTTTTTTAAGAAAATGAAAGGAGGAGCTTATCTTGTACTGAACCTGGAACATTTCTATAAATAGTGTGACTCTTTAGAAAAATGTATTCTTATTGAGTACAATTCATTACAGATCATAATTGCAGCCACAGGAACTGTGAAGCTAAAACTACATGTCACCGTCATTGACCCTTGTTATCTGATTCTCCTGAATCATCTTACACAGAAACAGTATATATTTGTCTTGCATATACTGTATAAAGTAAAGAGAAATTACAGCTGATCTCAAGTGTTACAATTACCACCCATAAGGTTATAATCACAATGGGAATGTCACTCCTTAATAAGTATTTCAGCTTATCAGGGTTTGTGCTGTACTCACTTTACGCTCCTTGTCTCCGTACTCCAGCCCCAGTGTGTCCATGGCACGCACGATAGCAGCCAGAGACTGGATGGTGTTGCTGAAGACCACTGGCTTGTACTGCTTCACATCATCACCAGAGAAACCGTCCTCGTGGATAATCCTACACACACACCAGAGGATATGTTAGAGAGCATGTAGTTCATGTGTGTCTGGAGCACATTCCCCCTGGCTGGAGGAACCAAACTCCAGTAAACAGACAGGAACTATGTCCCATTTCACTGAAATGTTCAGTTCTTCTTAAGATCACAACCACACATTTCTAGACTGACAGTCTCCAGGCCCAACTATGGTGATAATACAAAAGCATAGGAAGGATGGAGAAGATGATTGGAGAGTGAAGGGAGACAGCAAACACAGTGATGTTCAAACATACAGATACAGACAGTGATGCAATATGTCTGTTATCTGTGTCTCATGGCTTCAAGGACTGCTCAGCCCCCGTGCTGCTCCCCGATAAATTTATTTAAAGCTTGCTTTATTTATTAAGGCTTTATTTGCTTGCTTTATTTATGTATTAATATATGCATAGTTGCCAAAGCCAGTGAGTGAGATTTAGATGTAACATGATCTATATCAGCGACACTCAACACCCTGTCAAATACAATGATACCTTATGACCTTCCTTTAATGTAAGATTAAATTAAATCAGACTAGTTTTCATTTATTTTAATCTTGTTCAAATCAAACATATTATCATGTTCGTCACACATTCTTAGTGAAATAAAATAAATAAATACAAATAATAATAATAATAATAATATTGAGCGAACTGCCTACTGCTTCTCAGCAAACTCCTCTGAGAAATCTAATCCTGAAATCTAATTACTATTTTTTCACAATGCTATTTATTTTGCTCTGCTTCACTGAATACCATAACTAAAGAACAATAACTAAGTTAACAAAATTTCTGGTTAAAATTACAGTTGGTCATTCAAATATTGCTGGCATCACATATGACATAAAATTAAAATGAATTTACACAAACACACACACACACATGCTAATTTGTACAGCTATCTTTGAGGGACCTGCCTTAGACTTAAATTGTTTTTTTGTTTTTTTTACTGACCTAATGATATTTTCTATCCACACACATAAATTTACTACTACAATAGGTTTCTCAACCTTCTGCAACACTCACTTTTAAGAAAAGAAACACTCCCATTTTAGTAACTACAGACACGCTTATTAAATCCAGTACATTGACAGTAATTGATTTGACCTGATGTGTCAGTAAGTCAAAAAAAAGTGTTTTACCATTTTTTTAAGGCTGCCAGCACATTATGTAAATTATACGAAAAAGAAATCAAGGACCTTTAAAGTCTGGATGACACATGCATTCTCGTGATAAATACTTCAGATTCGAATTGTCAGTAAGATGCTATCGCTGAGACTTACAGTCAAATTAAAACCTCACAACATTTTCTAAAACTTTTTAATTAGATTACATTCACAACTACGCATGTCAAAAGCCACATGCTGAGTGGCTTCTAAATGTCAAATGATAAATAGAAGTGAAGAATGACTAATAATTCCACTAGTTGTATTTATGCAAAAAGTAAAAGTTATATCAAATTGCTAAATTTGTTGTAGACAGAATAACCAAATAGCTCAGGTCTCTCAGGGATGTAGGCATTTTATCTTCATTTTGTGCTATTGAGAAATCAGTGGAAGTGCCTTTTTGTGATGAGGAGGGTGTTTTAATCATCGCATTCAGTGAATTACAGTAGTAAGTGCAGCTGTATCATCCAGCATTGCGTTGGACTGCAGAGTGTTCTTTCTAGATAGCCAGCTATGTCTTTGTCCTCCTGATTCATAAGTTATATTGTACATTGTTGTGGTTTTTACTGTTTCTTATTCTGTGTTTTATCCCTCACTCATGCTTACATTCAATATTCAAACATTATTACCCATTATCTACAATAAAATGGTGTTATTTCTGCTATAGACGGCATGCCCGACTTTGATCTGGGGAAAGTAGAGCATTCAGAACAACGAGGGACGGGTTTCTCACAGAGCATATGACCCTGCTGGAGCCAAACCACAAAGGGGGGCCCCAGTGGCACTTGGTCCTTCTGTGGCCAAAACCCCTAATTCAATTGATTTAGCTGAAATTAGGTTTGGACATCTGTCTGTTCTACAATACTGAAAGATGGCAAGGCATTTTTAGATCATGAGGCTTTGACCTCCTTTGTGAGTAATATACACGCAAACACACACATTTATATGCATTTCCTTAATGCATAGTAGCATTGTCTGGCCTGAAAGCTAAAGCCAGTGAATTATCACATCAGCGCTCGGCTGGTCTTGGTTAACGGTGTTAGTGTGGCATGAGAAAAGCCTGGCATTATGCAGACCCAGACATCACACTGGTTTATTAGACTGGTGCCAGGGAGAGGTGTGATGAAGCATGTGTTTGGGGATAATATTTTTACCACTTGGTGCACACACACGTGTACACACAAACTCAGGTGGCCTGAAGGCTACTACATGCCTATCATTAGCTCACTATTGCACTTAGTTCAACCAAAACCACTCTTAACCACCCTAACCCTAAAACACCCTATAACCCTATTGCACCCTAAAAAACAAAACAAAAAACACATATATATTAAAGGGGTGGTTGATTGCGATTTCACTTTTTTAACGTTAGTTAGTGTGTAATGTTGCTGTTTGAGCATAAACAATATCTGCAAAGTTACGAAGCTGAAAATTCAATGCAAATGGAGATATCGTCTTTTAAAATTCTGGCAGTTTAATGCCTACAAAAACGGCTCGTAGGGACTACAACAAGTTACTTCCCGGGTTCGTGACGTAACAAACCCAGATAAACCCCGCCCTCAGTAAATGGCAGCAAAGGGGGCGAGGCCATGCTGCACTGCTGTAGAGAAGAGGAAGAGAAAACTAGAGGTGCACGTAAAAATCTATTAATATATGAATCGCAATTCTGTCTTCGAACGATTATAATGGACTCACAAGTTTCAAAATCAATGTTCTAAAGCAGCGGTTCTTAATACTGTTCCTCGCATTCCCCTGCTCTGCACACGCTCTGCATCTCTCTCTCTCTCTCTCTCTCTCTCTCTCTCTCTCAACAACAAACAAAAAACATTGGCCTACCTTTAAAAGCCGTGCTTGCACAGGTTATGCACGATCCTCTTCAATAATATCCACTGCTTCTCAATCGGGCTCAAACTGATAAGCAACAACAGGAGCACATGCCGCTGAGGAGAGGGGCGGGACGATTAGACGTGCACTAGAGGCGGTTTAGCCAATCACAACACACTGGGCTAGCTAACCAATCAGAGCCCATCGCCTATTTCTAAGGGCGGGGCTTCATAAAAGCAGGAAATTGATCAGCACGTCTCAGAGAAGAGACAGAGCGGTGTGGAATAAATGTAAATTATGTGAATAAATAATGCGGTTTTTTTTTTAAACTACGCATTAACATGTTAGACTGCACCCCATAAACACAATCAAGCCTAGAAAGAAAGCACTGAACCACTCCTTTAAAATTTGTAAATAAATAATTATCGGAGAATGCTTTACAAGAAAATGTTTTTGTACTTCAAAATTTCACGTTTAATTCAGTTTTACTTGGATTTTTTGTAATTGTTTCACCAATTTTCTTTCAGTGTAATGTGAGCTTAAAGTTTTAAAGCAATTAATAATTCATTTAAACTAAAATAACAGTTATTACCATAAACTTTTTTTTTAGTTTACACAATCTTGAATGCTTAATTTGGTGCCTCTAAATACAAAGTGTTTAACATTTAGTTCTAGTTTCTTTGTTATTTTATACAAATAAAATTTAAGAAAGATTTCGTTTTATTTCAAGTTTTATTTATGTCATTCTGGTGGTAAAATACAAAAATAATCATGAGATTGAATAATTAATTCCTTCAAATGCTCTATAAAAAGTTCTAGAATGTACTGAAATATTATTCTATTAAAACCAATAAAAATTTAATTCTAAAAATTACTCTTATGTAAACCATCTCATCTGGGATGATTTATATATCAGAAATAAATCAGCAGTTAAGAGTTTTCTCCCTATCATTATCATATTTTTTTTATAAATGTACTGATAAATGAGAGCACAGCTAACGGGTTGTTTGAACACAAACACCTGTGCTGCTTTTCTTCTGATCGGTCTTCAGGAATCAGGTTAAACATTCACTTTGGCAGCACTCTAAATGTTTCCTTATGTGTAAAATGTCTTTATATATTTCTTATGCTTATGAGCAATTCAAGCTTCTTATCCAACAACAGCTGGTGCTAGCAAACCAATGAAAACAGTTTGATGATGGGATTACATGGCCATTCCCAGAATCTCTCTCTCTCTCGGTGTGTTTGTCTGTCACTCTCACTCTTTCACATTTCTCAGATGACCACTCAATAATTCAGCTGATAAAAATAACAACTGTTTAGGGTCTTTTGAAAGTCGCAATATAAATAAGGACATCGGTTTTTGATTCCCGCAGGAGGATGGAAACATTGATCTGTTTCAAATGTGAGACACTGAAAGTAGACTAACTCAGAGGGCTCCTATTCCAGTCGACCTGGCAAAGACCAAGGGCTTGACAGACACACACACACTGCACACAGTCTTAGTCACAGATGTGCAGATCAGGATACTGTCCTGAGGCCAAATAGGTTCCCACAACTGTGGGCTAGAATTAAGTCTCCTGTGTAAATGTTTTAATAGTTGCACTGACTAGCCATTTAGTTCTACCACTAGTCTATTTTTTTGGCCCTTCGACTATTTATGGATTAAATTACTTCAGCCAGGAATCCTTCATATGGACTTCACATACAAAATTGTTGCAAACCTCCCTGAAACTTAAGTCACAAGTGAATGGGGCAAGACTGTTTTAGCACTGACATGACAATGCAGCCAGCATGAATCTGGCAATAGAGATATGTGCGCTTTCGTCCCACCTTTGTGATTCTCTGTGAACACAGTGCTGGACTTGCCAGAAACAATAAAGGCTGCTGATGGTGCACAGCATATGGAGAGTTATTTACATGAGGAGAATACGGACACGTCAACTAGCTGACTATTTTTCTGGATAGCTATAGTCGACGAGTGAAAAAAGATGT